GGGGAGGGGCTGTTGTTCATCTCCTTGGCCGTAAACGTCGATTTCGTCGATTTAATGTTAGAAACATCATTTCTTCTAGTGATTCTAATCTGATGCATTCTAATCTGATTAACAATTTTCAATTTCTAAAAATCACAACTGAATAAACGGAAAGAATAATTCATTGATTTCCTATGTGTTCTATGCATGGCATTAAAGTAATTGTTATAATAATAATACTTTATTTGAAAAATAATGAGTCATACAATGTCCCATTTTGTATTTACATTATCATATCACTCAATCAAAATGCAAACAACACTTAGCAACCATGTTCACATTGAATGAAGGTAATGTAGGGGTGGCGTCAGGATTTGCCCGACGGAGGGCCGAGGTCCCCGACGGTGGGGGGAGGGATGCCCCGACGAGGGGTCAGATTTCCCCGACGAAAGCAAAGTGGGCATGGTCGAGCTTCGATTAAAAGGTTTCGAAAGCGATCCTGGGGGGAAAGCCCCCGAAAATGTTGACAATTTAGGGGTTTCAAAGACTTATTTAATCGATTTTAGAGTCTACTAATATGTAGAAAATACATATAATTTTTTTTATCCCCGACGAATTGTGCTTTTTCTCCACGACAGGGGGGAGGGGAAGCTCATCCCGACGGGGAGCCCTGGCCACCGGCTGGCGCAACCCCTGAGGTAATGTCACATGAAGGTAAATGTCACATGATGGTAAATGTCACATGAAGGTGAATGTCACTTGCAGTGGCATATCTTAAGAGTCTTGAAACAGGAGAGTGGGCTGATGATGCCGTGGGGGCGGGGAGGGGGGAGAGAAGCGAAGGTGAGCATAAAGTAGCTTGATGATTAAGTGAAAGGGTATTTGCTCACAAAATGAAGTGATTTTTAACTACCTGAACATACTTTTTTTGCTTCAAGCATTTTCTGAGAGGGGAGGGCGCAACTGGGATAGGCAGGCTTTTTTAAGGGGGAGAGGAAATGCAATGTTACATGAGAGTGTAATTATCTGTGATAGTAATGTCAAAAATTAAAATTGTAAAATCAAATAATTGTAATGCTAAATAACAGTGGCAACTATTAGAATATATAATACTGTAATACGTATGTCACACAAGTGTGATATAAGTCTGCCAATATTCCTCAATAAAGAGACACTAACAAGAAATGCAAAGTGGCACGATATTATTTTTAATGACTATGAGAAATATCAACATATTTTGAACAAGATATTGAATCTTGTAAACAATTACCACTACAACATCAGTAGAATTAAACTATTATATTTAATTCATTAAACAAGGGAGATGCTATGGCAATATTGTTTACATAAAATAAAAAGACGGTTAGAGATACAGTTACCATAGAAGCTGAATTAGTTACTAATTACTATTTGTGCACATTGGAAAATAGAAAATTAACTTGATTTAGCAAACTAATAAGGGTAAGACATTAAACAGATTGGGGGGGGGGGTCAAGCATAAAGGAAATAGAGGGAGTGTAATAATAGCTAAGAACTTTCCATTTATAATATGAGTCATACAATGTCCCATTTTGTATTTATTTACATTATCATATCACTCATTCAAAATGAAAACAACACTTTCACATGTTATTGTGAGCTTTAAAGATACACAGAGGTTCCAATGCTCCTGCAAGACGGGAATCTCCTGGAAATCGGGAAGGCCTACCGCAATCCAGCAACCAGACAGGAATATCCCGGAAAATAACCCATCTTCCACAAATTCATTAAACTTGTTTTTTAACTGTAATGCCAATTATATTATCATTTGTATCAGAGAAGTCAGTCTCGATTTTCTATCACCATAAACAGTAAAACAAAATTAGATGTATTATTGAAAGCTTGTTTAAACAGTTCTCCTGGAAATGACTTCTTCTAACTTGGGACCCCTGGATATAATATGTACTGTCTAGTAAAATTTTTAAAAAAAAGAAAAAAAGACCCCTGAAAGAATTAATTAAAACAATACATTGCTTAATTAAAAAGAATCAAGTTATCAACTTTCAATGAGACACAAAAACTGGTGTATGCCCATATATAGTCATGATGTGCTTATAAGGTATACGGTCATGAAGTGATTTCATCATCACCATAATTAGGCAAAGCCAAATGTTTGTTTTTTTTGCAACGGAAGTGCATATAATTATGATCATTACCAGCCAAATTTAAGATCTAATCACTAGTTCAACCTTCCGCAAACTGCCGGTCGTAACCCATCAGTGGTCACCAAAACATTTTAGAGGGTCGAGAAGCCTTGATGGAAATCACCAAAATTAGCTAGCTCAATTGTCTCTTAATATTATAGATATTATGATCATTTAAAATATTTATTTGTACATTAACAATGAAGCCATCAATCTGCATACTTAGTTGTTCATTTGCCATGATGCAACAAAGAACAATGCGGCTACAATCATCATTGTACATTATTAATTTGTTCTAATATATATTTTTGATTTTGATTACTTAATATAATCTTTTTTAAAATCCCATTCCCAAAATTGTGAACTAGGGCTAGCTCTCTGAATTCGGCATGTGTGGATATGGGGTCAGTGGGTCGCAATTCAAATGTCTGAATTTCCGAATTCCGTCATCAGTCTTAAATTTTGGGAACGCTCTACTACAGTAGGTGATTGTTGATTGGCGTGGAAAATATTTGTTCTCGTTTCAATTGGAAGTTCAAAACTTAAATACATAAATCACATATTAAATTTTATTGTTAGCTCTTTTTAAGACAATACATTATATCATCATATTGATTATGGGGTATACTGTATTATGTCGTTGTAGTATAATGTATGCTGCAAAACATCATTGTATCACCTGGCATAAAAGATTAATAACACATACTTCAACAAATAAATATTCTAACAAATAGGGAATCTATTTTCAAAATCTTATACTTTTCAACATGGACAACAAAACAATGAGGTGCTAGAACTTACTTTACAGAAAAAATATTTAAAAATATTGAAAATGAAAAAAAATATTAAATGCAACCATGTTGTTTATACCAGGTGATAAAATTACAAAGATATTGAGAGAGTATAACATGTAAACTAACTTGAATATACTTGCGTTACAATGTGTGACAGAGGGCGCCATTCAATCAGCAAGACCTTTAGATTGAAAATTAAATATGTTGGCATCTCATCTGGCATGTGTGGAAGGTCTATGGTCAAATTTTCTGTGACAAACAGGATTATGTCATATCACACCCAAATATGGGAATATCTCATAAATTTTTATAGTGTGGGCAGAGATAAAAACTAATCTTTTTTTTTTATATTCTACCCACCAAAAATATGGTGTATGGAACAGAATCAATACAATACCCACGGTAGTCAACAATACGTTCTTTCATAAAAATTTTGTTAAAACTAAAAGACAGCACAGTATTTTGAGAGACTTGTGAAGTTGCACTATGTAATCTTAAACATGATCTTTAATTAGGATGACATAACAATGTACTGCCGTGCAACAAGAAACACTGTCCATATCTTATATGAAAATGTCCAGCATACTTTACCTTGTATGTTTTAACCTAATATGAACATGGATTATGATATTAATGTCTACTGCTAAACTAAAAGCAATGATTCTACATCACATCTCGTACCGACGCACCTAAATCCCTCCTTTTACACAGTTAAAATAATGCTAAAACAACTCACTAGAAAAAATTGAAACTCAACTACACTTCACATGCTCAGAATAATTAGAAAGCCGATACGAGGTTATATATCAAAGACTGGTTCCCCGTGCAAATACGCCATATGGGCCACACTGTCCAATAGGAAACCCTCATAAAGAATATGAATTAGTTACTATCCTCCTGCTGTTTGTAATCTGTGGAAATCACGTGTCCTATTCAGTGTTTTTGTTTTTTGGTGGCATATAGTTCTGGTAAGCACTGTATTTACACTTAACGGGACTAGTTTGTACAATTTCAATGATAGCAGTTTTCCGTAGCATTTTTTTCTCAACGTAAACACTTCATATTCAAGAGTTCAACACTAAAATAGTCTCTCGCAAAGTGCTGAACGCACCATCAAGTAGTGGAGAGGACATACATCAGAAACACAATTTTAAGGAAGGACTGTTTCAAGCTCAGCGTTTGCTCTTGCCTTTACTCTCGCTCATCTTGCCCTGTGTCGCGACCCCTGCGACAGCACTCGAGCCTTGACTTGTATTAACTTGTTGCGCCGCTTTCTGTTTGAGTAGTGTCCAGTCAAAGGTGAAGTCATACTGGTGGTTCAGTGTACGGAAGAGGATTCGGAAAAGTTGCCGCAAGTACATATAATCTGGTGCCTCGTCGAATCTAAGCCCGCGACAGTAGTTCAAATACATGGCAAATTCAGCTGGGAAACCCTGAGAAGGAATACAATGTACAATCAATAAATTTATGTATTATGCCATCATATCATAAAATAACATTTTTTTCAAAAGAATAATTTTTATGTCTTGAAAAAATTGAGGTTTCTTACTTTATGCTCTATGGTATGTATTAGATTGCATTTATTCGGTGTAGACACCAAGGATAGCCCACAAAAGTCTCAGGTGGTGCTGGGGCAGTACACCGGGAGACAATCTCCTACTGTTTTCCGAAGAGCGTGCTGCGTTCTTTAACGTGCACATAGGCCATAAATGCACACATGCACGGTTCAGCACGCACACAGTGATAACCAACAGATTAGCCGATGTGACAAAACAAACTGTGATATGGTCATATTTGGGTGTATTATGACATCATCATGCCCATATATGGACACATTACATAAATTTGTCACTTTAATTTGATAGTGTCAACACAGCTTTAGACTTCTGCTTGAGAAAAACAGCGGTTATTTTTCCCGGGCAAGAATCGCTTGGTGAATCATGGGTATTAATGAAAAACAAAAATGTCCAATCTTAACCTAGGTCCATGGCATTGGGTAGCTACCGTGGCAGTTCCAAGGGGTGGGGAAGAAAAATTAAAAATTGTATTCAAATTTTAACTCTGAGAGTGCCATTTCCGGCCATTAAAAAACCTCTAACCATGGTGGGGTTGAGGTGGTCTAGATCCTCCATCTTTGATAGGTCCTCCCTGGGCCCTTCTATTTCAAATTCCTGGATCTGCCATCAACCTAAACCACCAAGTTATAGCTCCAACACATTTGAGCCAGATGTCATTTACTGGCGGCGATAAAGAGGACATATATTGAGCAACATACCTTGCAAAGAACCTCCACGGGTGTTGACATCTTCTTCTCACTGATCTTTTCATACTTTTGTTTTTTGGTGGCAGCTTTTAGCCCTTGCCATGGCAAACTGGTACGGTTGAAATACATCAGCACATAGCCTAAGGATTCCATGTCATCCCGACGACTAGAAGATAAAAAGAAACGTAAATGTACATAAGAAATGAGTAAATCAATCAATCTATCAATCAATCAATTTAATCAATAAAGCCCCCAAGAGAGCACAGAATAATGTAACAGAGACTAATCATGTAAAATACTTAAAAACAAAAGGACAAAAGCTCGCCTTTGACAAAAGAATGCATAGAGACAGGAATTATGGGCTATATAAATGGAAGACAATTACCATTACAAATAAGAGTAGCCATTAAAGTTAAAAAGGTAATAAAAGTTCCTTAATAAGTTAATAAATAAATAATATAAAATAAAAAGATAATAGTACAGTATTAGACAGTGTGTAAAAATAAATTAAAACACTAACAAAATGAAAATATAATAAACTGTTAGTGTTATACAGCCACACTGAGTTGGAACTACATAAATATACTCATAAATTATAAGATACACCAGTATGTCTACAAAACAATTAATAAGCTTGAAATTAATATTGCCAAACTATAAAGCATTCTGGCCTCCAACACAGTGATTGGTTGAAGTGCAGCCCATCTTTCTTTTGATATGCATTTCAATCTAACAGTTGTTTATATGGCCTAGCAATCATAAATACTCTTTAGTAACCATAATTTTTTTTTTAATATTAATGAGGCCACAATAATTACCAATGCTTTGATAATAATCCATACCATGCAATAATATTAAATAATATCAATGTGTTTAGTTCACGTTTCATAATTACTATTACTGTAAATAATTGCCTGAAATTACTAACACTTACAAACTAAGATTAATAATGTATTATCATTGTGAGGAAGAAATAAAGATTTTTCATCGGAAAATTTTGTGACAAGATACATGATAATTGTATTGTCTGAATAACCAGAATTCTTCCCCACTGGTAATATAGGAAATAAAACATTCAAATATAAAAAATGATTAACACCATCAGTGTGATATAAATAAATGAAAAAAAAATCCATTTCCTGTCAGCTGATATGCTATCATGCCAAAAATAAAATTATAATTTTATCTAAAATAATCAGCAGACAGTGGTTTTGCAAAACAAGATGATATAAAAATAAAGTCTGTCCTTGACAATGAGAGGGTTTGTTTCTGGTTGTGAAATGCTATATATCCAGACATCACCGAAAAGCTACAAACAACAAGCTATAATGAATTTAGGTCAGGCTATCTTGCAAAGTATTGTGGGATACTTGCAAATACCACATGAATAACAAATGTGTACCTTGACCTAATACCAGGTTATCCACAGCAAAGGATGCTATAAGATTTTATGGCGCATGCATTTTAGTAATTACAGTATACAGGTTTAATGGCCTATATTTGAGGATGTGGCTATACAGTAGTCGTATTCCCATAGGAAACACGGTGCTATTATATTCGCACAATACTCAATAATGGATTAATAGCTGTAGATACAGCAATACGATATGTTTAGACCATCACCAAAACTATATGTCAGCTAACAGGAAATAAAATATAAATTATCTCCTGATTCTAAAATTTCTCCTTGGGATATCTTCTCTGCTTTGAGCTACTGTAATAAATTGAATAATATATTCTAATATTTAACCTATGTACACTACAGTATTTACTTGATAATTTGTTTGTGTATTTAATGACAAATTGTTTATATATGATGAGTCAACAAACATGAATGATAAAATTCCACATAAAAGTTGCATTCTTTGGATATTTGTAATGTACTTTGAATCCATGCATACACATGTAATAACTATGCTGGAACTCTGCGCCACTGTGTAGCCTTAAACATATACTGACATCATCATCATCATCATTTATTTACTGTAAGTCAGCATTTCCACTCATATGAAGGGTTGCTGACTTTCACATGATGATGACACTCCCATCTTCCACTTTTTCCTGTCTTGAGAATCCTCCTTTATCAGTCATATTTTACTGTAACATGGAGTGACAATAGGCAAATTATATGCAACTTACAGTAGTCTATGACCATCACCTTAAAAAACTAGACCAAATGGACAAGCACTGGAACACACTAGTTGGGCCTAGCTTACATATAGTTCATGAACTGATCATGAAATGGAGAGAAAATTAAATCATTTAAAAACATTGTAAAATTACCACACACAAACTTTTTTCATCTACCTAAGTACCACTCACCCCCACGAACACTCATTGGTAACCCAGAATGTCGGGCAGTGCAAGACCAAAATTCATGCAAGTAGTGTGAGGGAGCCTTGACGTACCTGACTACAGGCGTGCATGCTCTGACTACTTTCTAGTAAATGTGGAGTGAAGGTTGTCAGGCTGGGTTGCTTACCTTTGCTCAATACCCAGATGTGCGTTAATACTTGCGTATCTTGCCGTGCCTGTGAGGTTTTTATCTTCTCTATACGTAATGTGTTGTCTCGTCCTGCTATCACGATATTTCTTAGCCAGCCCAAAATCAATGATGTATAGCTGGAAGTTAAAAACCATATAATATTTAAGATATAAATATATATAAACCAAATAAATTGAATTGCTAATTTCATGTACCCACTCTAATTAAATAAGCCTCGGAAAAAAAATTACTATTGCTTTTTTTTCACAATTATTTTCCATGGAAAGCAAGGGTTTAGCCAGAAAAACGAATAGGCCGTCCAAAATGGAAGCCAGTGGGTGTGACACTGAGCCGATGGGCGGGCCATGCCAATCTTTGGGAATCCCCACCGAATATTGGTACGAAAACAACATACATTGAATCAATAATTGTTGCTTTTTATCAAAAGTAAATAAGATTTAGCTTTAGTTTAATGTAACATTCGATATATTTGAAGAATATAAACAATTTGCTAAAGGTAGACAAAGACCAGGCCCAATTAGGATAGGCCGAGCTGATTAGGTCAAGCTGTCGCGGTAAAAGTGGCCTCCTATATAATTTCAATTAGTAAACATCTTTAACAAGACATACTTTCAAATCACTGACATGAAACCATTAATTAATTTTATTTGGCCTAAGTACTCGTTTTTTTACACTGTTTATACACAGCAAGACTCTTTGTGGACACAAACATGAAAAATAATAGCATCCCATTGCCAAAATAAAATGTAAAAGAAATATTGTCTTGCTTTGTTGAACACTAAGTAGCAGAAACTTGGCAAAGATTGCTAAATGCACTTCATCAAAACTAAACAACAGGCAGGCTGTCTATTCATTGCTTATTTTGCAATACCACAAAAAAAATCTATTTTGCATGTGGTTTGTTAAAAATTTCAAAAAAAGTATCTGGGTGATTTTTGCAATGATTACTAAATATCAACATTCTTTTCTATTTATTGCCAATAATATGCAATAATATCTGGAAAGTACAATATTGTATTGTATTTGTACATGTACGAATTTGACCTCATCACATAGTTGGTAGTTTACTTGAGAGCTACCAAAATGTTGAGATGAACATAGTTTGAATCTAAATGGGACGAATACTGTATGTTTAAAAAAGTCTACCATACATATTTAGAGTTAATGTATGATTCTATGTTGTTACATAATTAACATAAACAATCTTCTCCTTTAGTCAGAGAGCATTCACTACAAGGCCACCATCTACTGTATATGCTTCACAAGCACCTAAAGATGACATACTGTATTCACAATGCTGATTGTCTAAAATAATTATGTACAATAACATGCTGAAACAGACTTACAGAAAATAAGAATTATCATGAAAATGACATAGGAGATTTATAATTAGTAATTCGCTGGCTGGCCATCATGCAATGATCAGTGTAGGCTTGACTATGTACTGTACACTTCCGCATGTTTTTTTTTTTTTTTTTATTTGGATGTTTTAAATAAACAATGTTTTAAATACAGTAATTGTAACACTACTCAACAAAGACAATATACTGTATACTTTTGATTCTGACAGGTATTATTTTATTAACAATCTAGGCCTAACTGAAATTTGCTCTTTGTTTTTTCCTAGGCCCAGGAGAGCTTGAAGTGAGGAAGACATGAAAATCATAGTACAGTTTTTAAACATTAATAGATATTCCATTTTATGAACAAATCTGTTTTAGTCCTAAAATATAGAGTAGTACTCATAAAAAGCTATGGCAATAAAAAACGCCCTTCTCTAGTGTGTTGGGTCTGGCATTATTAAGGTTTGCAAAACTGCAAAAATTAACTTTGGCTATTTGGGCGCAAGTAGTGTACTTCCATTGTATAGAACCCTGATTTTAAACGTTTGATAGTACCATACAAATTAGATCTTTCCAGAGTGTCAACCAAACTTAACAACTGACCAATCAGAACCGGTACGTCCAGGAATATGTGTGTGTCCTACAAACGCAAATGTTGTCATACATGTTGTACAAGGCACGTGTTTGAGTATGTTTTACCACTGTCATTTTGGGGGACCTTAGCAAAAATATCCGAGGGGCGGGGCTTAGCGGAAAGGTCGATTGAATGCTTCTGTTGTTTAATGTTTCCACAAATCTTATGTTTCAACAGATAAGAAATCTTCGATTTATTTTTTACGATATTTTCAACTTACCACAAAATTTAATCAAATATAAATAATAAAATATTAATTTTAAAATTATCACAAACTTTGCATGCTAGTTTACTGTACACAGACAACATCTACAAGTGTACAGAACAAGACTACACAGAGTTACCTGGTTACAGTGACGTCCAATTCCCATGAGAAAGTTGTCCGGTTTAATATCCCGGTGGATAAAATGCTTGTTGTGGATGTACTCCGTGCGACTGATCATCTATCACGCAGTCGCAGAAAGATAAAAGAGAGAGGAAAAAGAAAACAAAACTTTGTTTGAGATTACCTTATTACAATGACGGCCAATTCCCATTAAGAAGTTGTCAGGCTTTATGTCGCGGTGGATGAAGTTCTTGCTATGTACATACTCGACACGGCCTATCATCTAGAGCACGGGAAAAAAGAACAAAACGGGATACATCATGTCAAAGGGAAAGGCTTACAACAAATGTGCAACATTCTACGTAACGTAAAATAAAAATGCAGACTTTTTTTAACTTCTTTTTATCTAAATAAAACATGCATAAGTAAAGATAATTAAAATTCAGAGTACTGTACCAGCTTTTTCTCACTATTCCACTTAAGTCAATGGAATAATAACATTCAAACATTCAATAAGTTTATTTTGAAACATAATACAATAACTACAGAAATAAATTTATTTACAAAATATAATGTACTACTACTATTTTCTATTTCAACTTCTGACATTTAATTTAAGCGCAGTAAAGCTAATAATATTACCTGCTGTAAGTAATAGTGTAAATGAGTGGGAGTGATTATGTAGACCTAACGTGAACTGCGTGTGTATGCTCTGCGACTATATTATTCAAATGTCCATGTTAATACAGAGGATAAACTTGTACTTAACTTCATTTCAAAGCTACATTATTATCTAATATCAACATTTTTAATCCATATGGTATTTGTATAATTCTTATTAAATAATCTGTAACTAATATTATCATAAATAATTCTTATTGTACAGCTAGTGGGAGTTTCTTCCTCTGTATACATTGGGAGAGCATAGCCATTCCATGTATGTGTCTGTGTAGGATCATTCATAATAATTACTTCCTCGCTATTGTGTAGATTAATGAGGCTATTTATTAGTTTATCTGAGGGTCCCAATTGATCAGCTCTCGCTGGCTGGACTACCCTCACAAAATATTGTTGAAATAATAAACAAATAAATAAATGAATCTTATTTGTCTCTACTTTTAATGTAGGATTATCATAAATTTTGCTTTTTTCTATTGTTGTAGGACTTCCTACTCCATTAACACAGTATGTTCTTCAGTGATTACATCATCTCTTTATCCTAGATAGTATATAGTGGAGGAAGCTGCTTCAGTACATTGTTACATAAAGCTTATTTTCATGCGAAATAGCAAAATAGGTTGTTATTGAAAAATTGCATAACAGACCTTAATTTGGAATATTTGCAATGCAAGTTACATTTGAAGATGTAGATTAAGTAGAAGATGGGTCACTCGTTCACCCATACATAAGCACAGTATTGATTTAAACCAAACATTTTTAATAAAAATATGGAGTAGTCATTACAGCAATTGTAGTTGCCAGTACGTTTTGACATTTCACTCAAGTGTTACTTGTTTATATCTTTAAAGGGCAGATAATGATATGAAATGAGTGAAGAAGATTTTGTCAAACCTTGCATTAAATTAATGTACAATATTTTTTCTTGATATTACATTAAATTCCAAGATAAAAGTAACATGTATTATAACAATTAGAAACTATAATTTAGTGTTATTATTCAAAATAATAGATATCATTCATTGGTGTAGATTGAGTTAATTATTTATTTAATTGCATCTTTACCCATTTTAAAGAAAAAGAATTTTTTTAGATATGTTTCAAATAAACTGCACACACAGAAACACATTGAGTTATTGTGAAGCTCAGAGCAAGGTTTAACTTTAGAGCATAATTTTGTATAGTATTTGTGCTTCAATGGGTTGAATAGCTTCATATGAAGCCTGGTAGGACAACACTAGAGAGAAGGAAAACAGTACACAAGCCAGATGTACGAATCACTGAACCTTGACATCCCCTCAACTGTTAAAGATTCAAGACAATACTGGGTGGTGTTACACCGTCATACAGCAAATGGTCTAAACTCACTATGAAAACACAAAAAGCAATACAGAACGCCCAATAAACCAATAACATGCAAGGCAGGCAGGACAAAACCTATAGTATAGATATCAACATTAACACACAAGGCTATTTTTTAATGCATTCAAAGCTTGCTTTTTAAACAGTATTAACAAAAGGGTTTGAAAAAGGAAAGAGGAAGGGGTATTTTTTTTTAAATATCCACTGAGTATTTGTATATAACTTTGAAAATAGACTACAGAGTAATTTCAATTCTCTAATCCCCATGAAACAATGGTATTGAAAACTATTATCTATTTTTTATAATATAGTAGAAGTTACTTTTATCTGCATGATGTACAACAGATGAAACCCACTAATAATGTACTGCACCAAAATAATAACCTATTCTATATGACAGTAGATACATAGTACACATAAGCTTACATATAAAATTAAAGTAGAGTATTATTTCTGTATTTATGTATTCACATTTAGTCAAACAATTGTACATTACTTCACCACAAAATGAATTACAGTTATCCATCTCAAAGAATGTCAACGCAATCTTTGAGGTGATAAAAAGGTCGTAGTTGACTATCAGCTGAGGAAACAAATGGATACTACAGTATATATTTCATTAAAATATTATGTATTTTAGTACACAGACATGCTAGTGGTTGGCTGAGAGGTATAATTGTTCCTGCTTCTTGTGCTGAAGACCCCGGTTCAAACTTGGCCAGTGTGCAGGTTTTAATTGGGAGTCTGATCGCTTGGTTCCTCGAATCACAATTACGGTACATGCATATAAAATGCTGATGCCATCATTAATCTCAGACCATACTCATCCTTCTAAAAACGAAATCATCCTGAGTTGTTCATCTATCATTGGTTGGCTGTTAGTTCTATTTTCAGGTGCTACATAAATTATTTATATCTGAACAGTACTCTTTTTGACCATTAACCTTTGTAAGTCTAGTATTAGATGAACAAGCATTCATTTTCAGTAGGGATTTCTATGACAATTTAAGGTCCAGATCAGGTATTACTACTATAGGACCATTTAATTTTCAGATAAAGGGGAGCTCAGACAAAATACACTTTGTAATCCATAATGTCAATGTAGCATTGTTTAGAAGAAAGAAGAATTGTATCTAAAGACAGAAGCCATCTTGCTGAACAACAGCTTTACTGTTAGGCAAAGTCTAAAGACCAAGGCCAAGTGTTGCAGACTTCAGGATAATTCTCTTAAAATAACCTGCCAGTGGTGGCTCCAGAAATTCACCGATGGGGTCCAACTAGGGGGTCCAAACCAAGGGGCCGACATGGTCAATTTCCTGGAATAAATATCCTGGTAGGGTTCATGGAGATGGAATATTGGCTTTAGTACGACCAAAACTTGTGCTTAGACTACATTATTAAAGAAATTAGCGATCAAAATAAAGTTTGAAAATTAGTATTTTTAACAGACAACATTGTTGTAGTGTCGGACGACAGAATTGTAGGCCTGTCTGACGGGGGACAATTTCCCCCCAACCACTGTTGGCACTGGCACAGACCCTAAGGATTACAGTACAATAAAGACAAATAACATTAACACTTGGCATCTGTGGTACAGACAGGCTGGCATACATACATGGAAATTTAATTAAACTGTATTTCATTTTAATTACAGTGGGTAACTTTTGCAGAGCTAGGCGCATGTTGAAAGCTGTACGAATTGACAATGGATGTTGATTCAAACAATTTCTACGGCCATTTATTTTCACAATTTAAGATCTATCATCAAATTTCGAACGCAATATACACATAAAGCTCTGGCACAAGTTATCAAATTTGTGTGATGTTCTCATATGGGAATGAAGTTACAGTACATCCAAATATGGACAAAGCTTTGAAATCTTTTACATGTTATGTGGAAATCACAATGGCTAACATGAACATACCTGGTCTGCTAACATCAAGACAGTTTTCATTGTGAACTTTCTGCTGCAAAAGTTAAACAAGTCTTCTAAACTGGGACCAAGTAGTTCCATTACTAACACATTGTATTCTTTCTCTGTACCATACCACCTGAATAGAAACAAGTAACAATCAAATTAATTGTAAATAATATATTCAAATATCATTAAATTATGGTAATGTATTATTATTTATTATCAATCTGACAACAGGGGGTAGACCTATGGTGTTTATGAGAGAATTCATATGGGTGGCTGAGGGTTACGGTTAAAAAAATATCTTTGTATGTTTAAAGCAAAAATGTACTTTTAGGAGTCAGAACAATGACATACTGTAATATTGTATTTGTAGTCAGCAATAACATGGTCTGAGGTGTTGTATTCTACTTCCCGGTGTGTTCAAAGAATGGGACTACCTCCTCAATGCTAAAACAGAAGGAAGTAGTCCTGTAATCATCCATTTTTTTTTTTTTTAATAAACCTCATACATTTTAAACAAACTGTCTGTCTATAATAACTATTTCAATCTGTGATGGTAAAATGATGCAGTTTGCATTCGGTTGCTGTAGAGTAATCAATTTTGGGTAGTACTTTCTTGCCTGTGTATGCATAAATTTGGCATGCACAGGCAAAAGGTAGAAACAACTACACCCTCTTTACTGGGTGGAATTGACCAATGAAATGTTATCACCTAATTAATATTTATAAGGTATATTAATCAGAGATATTTCTGCAACATCATTAGTCAATTATCTATAGGATGTATAGCTCATAGTGTTTACATGATCTTCCAATAAGTAAACAGTACAATGCAAAACGTTTGCCTGTGACTGCCGCGTGACAGGATTTACAGTATATAACTGTAGTAATAGTAAAAAATATACGCCTTTGTAGGAGCGTGTGGCACAGTGTGTAAGGTGTTGGACTTTTGATTGTGAGATTGGAAGTTCGAGATCGATGCTCACCGCAATGCTTGTATGCTTGGCCAAGGCACTTTACTTACGTTTGCCTCTCTCCACCTAGGAGTATAAATAGGTACCTGGTAGGTATGGCATTGAATGTATGGGTCGTGCGTGTTCAAGCAGCAATGACCAGGGATACTCCCCAGGGAGCAGAGAAAGTTGCACAATGTGCGGATTTGCCAGCTTAGTATCCAGTGACCAGGGAAATAATGATGACAGTGCCTTGTATAATTGCTTGTAAAATCTGCGGATTGTGAAAGGTGCTATATAAATTCTGAATCGAAAAAAAAATAAATAAAAAAATAATTAACAATAAGTAAATATAAACCATGAATTGTAAATTCATGAATCATACTTCTTGAAAACACAAGAATCTTTCCTTCAGTTCAACATCTTTGTATTACTGAAGTTGGAAATAAAGAACAGAAAAAAAAAACACTTTTGCTCATATTAAGACTTAGATAAGGCATACCTATCCTTTTACTGTATACTGTGGTCACCACTCAGATGCTATGAAAATTTGAACTCTCTGAATTACTTTAAAGTTTCTCAACGAATTCTGTTCGGAGGGGTACGTAGTGTAATTGGGAGACATTACTGTAATACATTAAGTCCCACAATTGGCTTGTGATTATTCTTAATGACCTCAGACTAGCCTTAATGGGCATATAGCCAAATATATGAACACTATCGAATGATGCAGTCTCAAGGTAGCAAGTTATTAGTAGGCAATATAAAAATCTATCATTGTTTTGATTATTTCATGCTTTTCTGGCAGAATATCACAATTTGATTAACCCATTTTTAGTAGGCTAATTTAAGATGAAATATTTTCCTCAATAACAAGTTATTAAATTAAAATGAAATTTTTGAGTCACCAGCATCTGCATTAAATTTCTATTTGAAGTGACAGTAAGGTTGTAGGGTAGCCTATTGTCAACAAGTTACTCGCACTACTGTTGCATGTATTTAAGGCATTCCTCCTCAACCATAACGCCATACACTCATAAGTGGCGTATAGTGGCGCAACAGCCATGATCTCTCACGCACTAGGTGAATTTAATCGCGCGAATCAAAAGCATCGGTTCACTTCCTGAGCTCTGATTACTTGAGCATATTTTTTTTGCTTCACAAGAATTAGAAAAGGTTTGAACTACTGATTTCGCTGAAGCACTTGAACTGACCCCAGGCCTTAAAGGGCCCCAGGCCTTAAAGGGCCCCAGGCCTTAAAGGGCCCCAGGCCTTAAAGGGCCCCAGGCCTTAAAGGGCCCCAGGCCTTAAAGGGCCTGGAATATATATCAGCATTTTTGCCCCATACTTTGGACAGTGTCTCTTGTAAGGAGCACTAAAATGTCAAAAACCCACCAAAATACTTAAAACGTCAAAGCCCAAGTGGGTGGGGCTTTCTCACAGGTTAGTACTATAGGGCCACAAAGAAGCCTTTAAGCCATGGGCCTCAAACATCTGTTGCACCACTGGTGGTGTATTTGAAAGCAATTCACTCTGCTTGGCAGGTACCTCAAATCAAGTTCCATAATGCTTACAGCGGCATTACATAGGCTGATGAGTTCTTAGTGTAACATGCTTTAAATATGCATTTCAGTTAAAATTGACTAAAACTCCATGGCTGTATGATAACAAGTGGAGTTTATTTTCAGAATCGTATACAATATTAACCAACGGGCAAATTACTATAATTCACTCATCGGCATGCCAAGACAGTGGAGGCATGTAACCATCAGCATTTATTGGCAAGCACTATGGTATCATAATCGATTCATAATATGATATTGTAAATGCTGTGACATAATATACTCATAATTTTATATTTTATTCAATAAGCAAAGGCAGTATTATACAAATCTGGCTAGCAATGACATATGTCAAATAAAATATAATGTTATTACTAATCTTTATCATCAAAGTATGAAAAAATATATAAAAATTCACCATACATGAAGGCTCTAAAGTAACATACACACATCATGAATTCAGTACTTGATATTATCATACTCTCTATTGTGTATTATTATTATTTGAATTTTATTTTAATATAAAAATATTATTAATGATACAAAAAGAGTTTAGTGGTTTTTTTTCTATTTGTCATTTCATTCTTTTATATTGGGTGGATAGAACATTGAGACCTCACTGGTAAGTTGGCTATTGCGTTACTGTTTATTTATGTTAATTGATATTTTACTTTACAAGAGAAAAAAAAACCTAATTTAGTAATACACAAGTGCAACATTTACAAACAAGAACACACTACAGTAAACAATTCACAATAAATTATATTACTTTTTATTATTGTTTGGAGGAATTAATTATTTAGAATCTTACTTGAAGTTTGAAGTTTTAATAAATGGTCACTATTGTTTACACCTTTCATTCAATATCACATTTTCTAAGCTTGATAAAAATTCTAAATTTGTCTGCCACACCATAAAATAATCATAGACATTTGTGCTGTAGGCCTACTTAATTCACCAAAATCTATGGTATGGCAATATCAAACCAAGTGTAAAAAGTTCAAAAACAATTTACCAAAACACCTTTGAGAACCAGAGCAAACAAAACCAGTTAAATGTTTGTGTAAACAAACACATAAAGAAAAATTAGGATTGAAGTGTAAACAGAGAAACAAGATCACATTAAGTTTGTGTAAAATAAACATGCAAATAAGACTGCATTAATGTTTAGTGTAAACAAACTGGCAAATAAGACCACATAAGTTTGTGTAAATATTTCAGCTGTTTGTTGAAAATATTCAATGGCAATAACAAGATTTCTGCAGTATAGTTTACTTTGTCATGATGAAAATACTCTCCATTATTTCATAGCATTATACAGTATTATATATAGTTGGACAGGTTGAATAATTACACTCATTTAGGTGGAGTAATGGACCATTCCACTAAAGACCCACCACTGGGATGGATGTTGTTGCTGAGGTCCCACAAAACAACAGCATACAGTAACTCATTTAAACATGTGCATTTTTGTTCCAAGCATGTAATCCTGGGCTTGTTCTGATTGGTTAGATGTCAACTTTGATTGACAATCTTAAAATGTACATTAGGCCAAAAATGTGTGTACAAACAAGGCCCTACTGACCCACAATATCTAAAATCTGCTTTCTTGGCACCAGTCAGTATGCTATGCTATTTAAGTAGCAGAATAATAATTTTGCATGACATTTCATTTTCCTATACCGGTACTTACACACTGACTGCATTTTAAGTTGTTTCAACCTGACTACTATTTACCTGTTGCTAACTTGGTAGCCACATTCACAAAGACAAAAATACTGTATATGATGCACCTTGAACTTATAACTGATGTAAATTTACAATAAAACACCAGCTTTACAGTAGTTTTGATCAATTTATTACAAGTCAGTTTCAGACATTTAAATAGGTTCAACAGCCTAGCCTACCACCAATCCTGGATCATATCCAAGAAACCATGTCAACCCTAAGGTAAATAATGCTTGCTTTCATAAGTAATAACATTCACACGTAATTTCTGAGTTCCTTGTACATAATCCCTTAGATTGACTAAAAGGATGTTTTCTGTCGTAGTTGTTTTTTTACAATGCTCGTGGCAGTTGTCATGGATTTGTTTTTAATTTTGGAATAAAATTGTCAAAATGTAATAAAAAAAAAAATATTAAAATACTTAAATAATAAAAAATTCCAATGAGATACAGATTGAAACAATACAGACTATAAAAATAGATATATTATAATATCAAATAATTCTGTTCTTTTACTATTACTAATTACATACAAGCCACTGGAAATGGCATAACGGTAGCTATGCTCACTGGCTAAAGCCAGGGGGGCCAAAAATTAAGGAGGTCCATGATTTTTATCAGAATTTTTCATCTTCCCAAATTGGCCATATTAAAAAAAACCTATCAAAATACATCCTTAAAATAACAGAAGCAGAACTAGAAGTTTTCCCCAGGCCCGCTAGGCTCTTTACCTGGAACCATCCCACATAGTAGGGACACACTAGTCAGGGCACCAGGCCTCTTTTTTACATCACTGGGACAAGTGTGATACAAATCAGTCTCTTCCAATGACATGCTTATAATATTTGAGTCTGTAATCATTACTTGATGCCAATCTTCTCTTATGAAGTCATGTTTTACAATCATATTTTTAACAATGTGATAAATAATGTAATATTATGAAAATGATTACATAATTATTAATAAGCACTTATTTATTTAGGGAAAAAATCACTGTCATTAATTAATTGGTAAGATTGCTAATAATTAATACCAATAACTCATTTTAACAAATTTCTATCAAAATAATTAATCTTTTCCTATTAATCATACATATTAACTGGTGTTACATTTACACTACTTTACTAGTAATATGGGTGTGTCCAGCCACATCAACTCAACTGACAGTTGATGTATTATTGAACTACCACAACAGCACAATCCTGCCAACTGTATCAAAAATAGCTATGGGTCAATGCCAGTTTAGCTCTAGTTGACCCTTGACCTAGAGATAAGCAATGCATTTGCTATTGGCAGAGAGAATGATATGCAAATGAAGCCTGCTACAGCTGGAATGGTAAATATAATGTATATTTGGCAATCGCTAAGGTTCTTGCTGATAATTTTCTAGATTTCTCCTAATGTGAAAACAGCTGTATTCTGTAGTCTCTAGAAAAACATTCAAGTGCTTAAAATTGTTTTGACTTTTAATTTATAAGATATGGAACTTAATCATTTTAATCGGCAATGCATGGCTCCACTCACTTCTCTGTTAAAAGAATAATTTATTTTTTTCCTTTTGTTTGAATTCTTTGTAATTATTCCCTAACAAACACAAAATAATTAAATTAAAATATAACACAATGTAAACCTGAAAATAGTTTCACCTATATCAAGAAACAAAGATTACTCTTTCCTTGCTCATGTGAAGAACTTTCCATTCTTTAACATAGCGCTCAAACTCTAATAAAAAAAATCCACTGCACAGAAGAGGTACATGATCGCACAAAATACCACCAAAGATATTTGGCGTAAGCAGACAGCTTGTGTGCGACATGCTTTAGGATAACAGCAATCATTATAACCTACGAATTATTATCTAGAATATTTGTAAAAAATATAAAATACTGGATTTTGATCAATAAATTAATACTGGTTTTTATATAGGCCTAAATAGTGGTCCACTATTTCATAACAGTGGCACCAGGCCTGGAAAAAAAATTCCAACCATGATTAAATATTCTTGATTATAAAGGGAATCTACAGTAGCATCAAACGTTACTTTTACCCTATGTAGGCCAAAAGTGTTCTTGTGTGGAGCAAGCAAAAAATTAGTTTTTCCATGACCGCCACTGCTGGGGAAACGCACAATACCTCCGACGGCTTGTCACGCTTTTCCAGCCCTTTTCCAGCCCTGAGCAGCACACTTCTTCAATTACTTACCTCTTCGCAAAATATACAAAAAAACATGGGAGTACCTACAAGTGACAACATTAGGCCGCTGGAAATACATTACATGGTTCTCATCAGAACTTCTCGAAAAATTGGTGAGGGATGTTTGTCAACTTTTGACATGTTTCATCACAATATTGGTCAAAATATGGCGTGTATATTTATAATACGGATGCATGGTCATTCGCGATAATTACACACCATATGTGATTGATTAAACATGTTGCAACATACACAACAGTTTGACTGTGTTTCATAGTACAGTGGGGTGAGTCGGATTTTCATGAAAATATAACAACATTTAATGAAAAGATAGAAAAAAATTATTATTATTATCATTTTTTTTTTCTTTTCCATTTGTTTTCTTTTTTTTTTTATTTCATTTGTTTATTTTCAGTTTATTCAGATAAAGTGTAATGCATTCTTCGGGTGATGGATTGCGTACCGTCGAGTTTCAGCATTGGTTACGCGTCGTCGGGAATTCCTGGCAATGGCGTGAACGGTGTCGAGCGCAGGGGCGTGTATTTCATTTCTTGGGATGCGTATTATAATTTCTTTTCGTTATTAGTTAAGTAAAAATTCAAAATACTGATAAAGTATTAATTAGACAGTGTATTAGTTAAGTAAGAAATGTCTATAGCAAGACAAATGTACATGTTATTATTACTCTTATATTGTGAATTATTGTTGCACATCTATTTAGTGATTGTGCCTCTGTTACGAAAAAAGAAACAACAAAGTTATTATTATTATTATTATCAAAAGTATCATACTGTAATGTTAAGCTGTACTTTTTGACTATTTATCTTGGTGGTCTTTTTCTTTTTAGACACAAAAATGAAAGATTAAATCTTTGATGTGGGGCCTGAAATCAAGAGCGGGCAGCTGACAAGCACCATGTAATGTATTTCCAGCGGCCTTATTGGAAGATGAATCAAATACTCTACCTTATATGTGGAATTCCTGGCCCTCCTTGCAATATTTTATAAAGTTTGCTTTCATATAATAACTGTGGATGTCTTGCTTTATGTGATTCTAACTTTACTGCAATTTCCTGAAAATAAACAAGTAAAAAAAAAACATTAATAATGTAAAACCATTCTCAATGTGTGTGTGTGTGTGTTTGTGTGCAACTGCATACTGTAATTACAAGACTTTTGTGATTCTAATTTTATTGCAACTTCATTTATAACTCATCAAAACCTTTTTACATCGCATCATTTATAATATATAGTACAGTAGTCCTTCATATTTCAATGTAATTTATTATTCTGACAAAATGGAAAATTTAAATATAAAGTAAATAAAAGGATCAAAGGATCGATCAGGAACCAAGGTGGCCCAATTTTTGTAATCAAAAACACATTTTCTACATACAGTAAAAGTCTAATTTTAGTCTCATTAAATAAATGACTGTGTCGAAAGGTATAGTGAAAAATATATAGAACAAAAGGATTACTATAGAATTGGTGTACAGAAGGTACAGCTTGGTGACAATGACATATGAACTAAACCCAATGAATACCTAGGCAACAACTTCAACCTTGTTCTCTATCTACTGTAAAATGACCAAGTTAATTTGGGGAACTGCCTTGACTGACTGTCGGCTGACAAATCAACCGCCACTCTTGTGAGCGTTTAACAAAACTATGATGTCCTTTGATTGTTATTGGCAGTTGTCTGTGCGCACCTTGTGATGGTCTCCACAAACCTGTGTTGGCTGACCGCTAGTCAACGCTAAGTGTGCCCTGGTTTAGGGATTTACTGTAACCACCACTAATAATCTCCTCGTAAATGTAATTTTTTGGTTGTTAAACCATGGAGGTAACAGGGAGGTTTCGCATGCGAACACGTACGGTAGTGTGACGGATACATCATCATTTCATACGTCATACTTAACCTAGGAATAGTTGTATAGAGTAGCCAGGCATTTTTGGATCACAAAATAACAACTCTTTTGGGCAACAAGTAAAGGAGTATTATTTGGCTCCACTTCCAATTTCCAAAACCTTATATACCAAAACTTACGCCTATGCCAAAATCTGAATTTGAGAAGCATGATGAGGGAAGAAAACGGAATGGCCTAGGCCTATAGCCCCACGCTAAGATGCGGCCCGACGCAAAAAGCACAGCACAAACCGTTATGGATAGCTAAACGTATGTGTACACATATTCGTTCGCCTGCGAAACCTCGCTATTATTGAGAAGATCACTCAGCAACAAATCCTTTTGATGCGACAAACCAATGTGTTCCCTGCATTTGGATACTTCTTTGTTCATTATAATTTTGTCTAAAGTCTGCATAAAGACAACAGATCATAGGCCTAGGGTTTAAATTATGGCCTATATTATATAGCCTGGGCCCTAGCTTAGGCCTAGGCCTGACTACGCTTACGCTAGCCTAGGCTAGTTTAGGGCCTAGCTTTTTACAATAATAAAAGGAATTGGAATGAGTAATAATAATTTCATTTAAAACAATATTTAACTTAGCAATCGTTATAGGTGGTAAGACAACAACATATTGAAAGCCCTGGCTTCACTCCAATAAATATCAATGTTTCCTGAATAATGGTAAACAACACGGCCTTTTGATTCAGCTTCCTACCCTGCTTGGTGGCCTAGCTCGCACGCACACACAGTATAACACCTACCTCTCCATTGGTGATATTGATGCCCAAGTAGATGTCGCCGAACGACCCACTTCCAATTTTTCGAACTAAACGATACTTTCCCCCAACAACAAATTCTTTCGTTGTCCCGCAACTAGACATTATGTATACAACTTAACTATAACACACTTGTTTTACTCAAAATATTCTTGAAATATACAAAATTCTGACTGGTTTCTTAACGGATGTGAGTCATTTTCTGTTTTTCCTTCGACGTTGTTGCTGATACGAGACAATAAACAGCAAAGAATTGTGGGAGATATTTGATTTCAAGGGAACACCCGACGACCCATAGCAACGTTATTTGCATAATAAATAGGTAGACAAAAGTTAGATGAGATGGGTCGCTATGTTCCATTCGACGTAACATTTGTTGTGTCATTGGGTACAATCAGTCGATACTTCATTGTTGAGTTTATTTTCTTGTATCCGGGCCTTGTACACTAAACTAAAACACTTGTTTCCCAACGATGTATACATAAACCATTGAACACGCCATTAGGTTTGGTCCCTGTTTATCGTTTATCTATTTTACACCACA